CACCTTGTGCCACTTCACCAGCCCTTTTTCGTGATGATTATTTTCGAGATAAGGGCTCATGAATTATTTTGCCTGGGCTGGCTTTGAACCATGATCCTCCTGATCTCTGCCTCCTGAGTAGCTAGGATTACAGGCTTGACCCACTGGTGCCTGGCTCATGATTAACATTTTGATAAAAACTACTTCTGTATATACTTACATATAATTTATATAAATAAGATCACTTCATTAGTCCATTTTGTATTACTGTAACAAAATACCTGAGGCTGGGTAACTTATAGAGTTCTGTTTTGGCTCATGGTTCTGTTCCAAGATTGAGGTCCTGCATTTGGCAATTGTCTTTGTGCTGGCACAGTCCAAGGGTGGTACTAGGCATTACATGACAATAGTTAGGGAATATGCATATGTGTGTCCCTTCCTCTTTTTTTACATAGCCCCCGATATTTAATCGTGGGGACTCCTCCTTGTTGACCTTTTCTAATCACTTCTCAAAGGCTCCATCTCTGAACACCACTGTCAGATTAATACCTCACAATGGGGATTAAATTTTTTTTGGCAGTACTGGGATTTGAACTCAGGGCCTCATTCTTGCTAGGTAGGCACTTTACCACTTGAGCCACTCTGCCAGCCCTGTTTTTTTGTGTTGGGGTTTTTTGAGATAGAGTTTTGAAAACTGTATGGGGCTGGCTTTGAACTGTGATCCTCCTGATTTCTGTCTCCCTAATAGCTAGGATTACAGGCGTGAGCCACTGGCGCCTGGCTTGAAAATATTTCCTTGTACTGTAAAACTCCATCTCACTTTTATGTTTCAAATCTTACTACCTATTTTTATTATTTTATTTATTTTTGGTGGTCCTGGAATTTGAACACAGGGCTGCTGCTGCTTCTCTCTCTTTTTTTTTTTTTGAAAGCACAGGAGTTTGAACTCAGGGTCTCCTACTTGCAAGGAAAGTTCTCTACCACTTGAACCACACCCCAGTCCCTTGGCTGTATCTTTCATCTTTTCCTGACTACCAGGATTTTTTTTTTTCTTTTGTACTAATAAGCTCATTAAGTCTCTCCTCTAAAAAAAATTTTTTTTTCTTCTATTTGCCTCTGTCCTCTAGCTACTGACCTTGCTTTTTCTTTACTGCAAAAATCACTGCTAACCGATTTACATTAAGCCCTCAATGCCTCAAGGCCTTCCTATTGCTAAGGTTTCAGTATCAGAATTATATCACACACACTATATATATAAATATATAAATATAAATATATAAAAAATATAGTTGATAGGTAATCAACTATAGTTGATAGGTAATCAACATGAAGACCCTGAATGGCTGTTTTATTTTTTTCTTCTAAAAAACTTCCACAATTTAAAAACGAATTCACTTCTACATTAGAACACATTCCGATGTAACTGAGAAATTCTCCATTTACATTCTCTAAAAGGAGTCACAAAACTACAGAAGCGACAGCGAGAAGCCACAGACCAGCACTTCCGGGTCCCAGGTGCGACATTCGGTCAGCAAGGCACATCCGGGTAACCTCATCTCCGCCGACCGCAGAGGCGCCAACGCTACCTTCCCTAGAGAATCAGCTACGCGCCCCCGGTTGCCCTGGTAACAGCCCCATCACGCCTCCTGGCTCCTCCCAGAATGCCCCGCGCAGTCTCACATTCACTTCCGGAGCCGGAGGCCCGGCTCTTTCCGGAACTGACGCTGGGCTGCTCTGCTGTCATTCCTGGCGGGGTTGGATTAACGTGTGGCATATACCTGGCGAGCGCCAAGCGGACTGTTTTATTCTTTCCCCGCATTCAAAGTGGTTAGAAAGCTAAGGAAAAATTTAGTTCCATGGATTTCTTTTTTTGTTGCGGGTACTGGGGTTTGAACTCAGGGCCTACACCTTCAGCCACTCCACCAGCTCTTTTTTTGTGAAGGTGTTTTTCGAGATAGGGTCTCACGAACTATTTGCCGGGGCTGGCCTCGAACAGCGATCCTCCTGATCTCTGCCTCCTGAGTACATAGGATTACAGGGGTGAGGCACCGGCGTCAGACTCCCACGGATTTCTGTTGACAATAAACGGATTAGACTTTATTAAAAAAAATAAAAAAGGAAGGGTCATACGTATTTTAATTAGCTTGACTTAGTGTTCTGCCGTGTATACATATCTCAAACATCATGTTGTACACGGTAAATAGTGAATTAAAAATAAAAACAGCATGCAATGTTAGAATGATGGCTGGGCATGGAAACCACAGTTATGGGAAGCGAAAGCAGAAGGAGGATGATTTGGGTAGTTTGTAAAACTCTTATCTCAAAAGCATAATAATAATAATAATAAAATGAAAGGGCTGGGGTCTCAGCGCAAGTGGTAAGAACGCTTGAGTAACAAGCACGAGGCCCTCGGTTTAGTCCCCAGTACTGCAAATAAAACAATGTTAAAAAGCTGGAAGATGTAAACGCTTTGACACTGTATGTAACCTCATTTGCTACAGAGATAGATTTAAATAACTTTATTTCCTATAAGAAACCAATTATTTTTCCTTTAGAAAGTGAATGCAGAGCTGGGGGCGTGGCTAAGTAGAAGAGCTCCTGCTAGCAAGCTGAGTTCAAACCCCAGTACCGCTGAGAAAAAAAAAAGAATGAATGCATAGCAGGGGTGGTGGTGCACATCTGTAATCCTGTAACTGAGGCTAAGGGAGGACAGTCATGAGTTGGAGGGCAGCCCGAGCTACTTATCGAGACAAAAAAACAAAAACTAGAAACAAAACCATGATTACATGGATTCTCTTATACCTCTTGTTGGCCATTTAAACAGTCTCTGTCCTTTTTGCTCTTAATTGGTGCTGCAATGGCAAAATGAAAAGCTTTAGAGATCTGCCCACACTTTCATGTCCTTGTAGCAGTTTTAAAGTCATTTTTACTATGTTTGGATGAAGTTATATGTATGGTATCAAGATCCTACTGTAGTTTTTAAAGTTTATTTTTCTGTTTATAAAGGTAATACATGCTTATTGTAGAACATTGGGAAAACACAGAAGACTATAAATAAAAAATTTAATATCTAGATTGACCAGTGATTCTTTTTTTGTGGTACTGGGGCTTGAACTTAGGGCCTTCCTCACCTTGAGCCACTTTACCAGCCCAACTTTTTGTGATAGGGTTTTTCGAGATAGGGCCTCGTGAAATATTTGCCTGGGCTGGCTTCGAACTGCGATACTCCTGATCTCTGCCTCCTGAGTAGCTAGGATTACAGGTATGAGCCACTGGCGCCCAGCAACCACTGATATTTTGGTATAATGTTTTTTCCCATAGCAGTGAGTATTAAAGTGTTTGCTAGAGAAGTACTGGTAGGGGAAAATTGCAGTTTTTAATGTGTACTTTTTTGCTTATTCATATAGCTGAATATTTCAAATAGTTTTTCAAATGTTTATAGTCTGTGGTCCATTTCAGCCCAACCTCTCTGACTTTCCTTCAGTATTTCAAACAAATCATGTTGAATTGTAATAGTTTTAATTTTTAATATGTGCATGTTTTAATTCTCTAGATTGAAAAATGGTTGTGTGGTCCTGGATAAGTCTATTCAATTTTGCTGAACCTACTTGCCTTATCTTCAAATTAGGAATAATATTTATTTGGTAGGTTGGTAGTGGATTAACAATAATGTATCCAAGGTGAGCTCAATAAAAAGTATCCACTTTTTTTTTTGACTAATAGCTTCAACAGTCTGTGTACATAGGTGTTCATATTCTTTTAATATTTTCAAATGAATGAGTAGTCTTTGCATGCCTCTCAATTTAGGTATTTAGTGAGCACCCAATAAGGCACTCTTCCTAATTAAGGCCTGGTGAGCCTATGTTATTTAGATATGTTTCCTATATAAATCATAATGCTGCTTTTCAACTTTAGTAATTCTCTTATTCATCTTTGTCTCCTGGGACTCTACCACTCTCCCTTGCCCTTCATAGTAGGTACTGAATGAATATGTGAGCTGAACTGAATAACTTAGTGGGAAAAGAAAGCACATACCATAGCTGGAAGGCCGTGATGAAAGCCAGTAACAAGTACAAAGTACTTTGTACTTTGGGGGATCAAGAGACATTAATTTTGATTAAGGCATCTGGTAATGTCCAGTGAAGTAGTGGACTACACCTAGGCTTCAGTTATAGAGACTAAGGAAAAAGGCTTAAAGACAGAAGTCACCATATGAGTTAAGAATTGGAGGTAGCAGAAAAAAAACAAAACAAAACAAGGCGTGTTATTACAGAGTTATTTGGGTTAGCAAGACAGAAGGGTGGGGAAGTGGGTCTTGGTGAGTCAGAAAAAATAGCTGGGTTCTACATTTTGAGGATTTTGATGTGACTAGTCTTTTTTATTATGCTTCTGAAAAACATTGCTTTCAATATGAGCTGAAACATCTTGGTAGAGTGTCAGGAGTCAGGAAAGAGGTGGGCCAAGGATGGCAACCCGCCTGTCCGTGGGGAGGCAGGGAGTGGGGAAGATGGCAGAGACCTTCAGCGGCAGATGGGGACCAAGTGGCCAGTATCGGCTAGGTGAGAAAGGAGTGTCCACGAGGAGGCAGGAGACCTTTAACAGGCAGGAGCCTGTTGCGGAACGACCCCTCCGGGGACTGGCCACCCATGCCAAGGGGCAGCAGCTAGGACCACAGCGGCCTCTTAAGCCCGCGGCAAGAGCAGTTGTCAGCTCCAGCCCCGCCCCCGAGCGGGGCCCAGCGCCCCGCCCACCACCCCCTCGCGGGGCTCAGAGCCTGCGGCCTTGCTCGGCTCTGCTCCTAACCGGATCCGGAGACCCTCCCCGCCCCAAATTCCCCGCCCAGCCCCGCGGCAGGTCGGCCCTGCGGAGGAAGGGCCTGGGCGTGGGGTTGGCGGGGAAAAGTTACCTTTTCCTGTCTCACCCAGGCTGCGCGAGGTCTGCTGGTTGCATGGCGGGAGCTCCCGACGAGCGCGAGCCGGGCCCCGCGACCCGGGAGCAGCTACACGTTTCATGCCAGGTCTTCTCCGAGGGGCCGGCCCAGGGGAAGCCCCAGGAAGGGCTCCTCTCCAGCTTCCCCATCCATAACCAGAAGTGCCAGCTCATGCTCCTGAAGTCGCTGAAGACAAGTAGGAGCCGTGACCTGGAGGCTGGGGGTCCGCGAGGTGGTGTTTGAGCTCCGGTGGGCGAGGAAGGGCCCGGGCCCCACCCACCAGGAGGGCTCCGGTTCAGCACCAGGTGCTGGTTGGGCTGGATTCTGGCACGTAACCTTCATGAGGGTGAAGGTGGGGGGCCTGGGCCTCAGTTTCCCCTTCAGAGGAGGTGCTAAGACTGTTTCTGCATTACTGTTGCTTGCGGAATGAACAAGGAGTCTGGCTAGGACTTTGACCATTTGCTCACACTTAACTGATTTCTTATGTAAGTTATTTAGCAACGCGGAGACGTTAAGGTAAGGGTGAGGAGAATTGTAAAGAACCCCGTTAATTAAGGCATATTTATTGCTAGCAGTGCAGAAACAGTTTTGCAAACCTGCCCTTCATTGGAAGGGATCCTTAACCTTCATGCTTGAGGCGGGGAGCCTGAGTGAAGAAGCCCCTGAAAAATCGTGTGTGCATTCACCTAAGTGTATTTTTCTGGGAAGAAAGTTTATAGCTTCGTTATATTTTCGAAGAGGCACACTACCGCAAAGAGGTTCACTACCGCAAAAAGGTTAAGAGCCACTGCTATGGGTTAAATAGGCACACAGCTACCCACTGATCTCTTTCCAGTCCCAGGGACGTTGCAGTAGATTTCTTAACTCTTTTGCATTGGCCCAGACTTCCTAAGTATTTAGGAGATTAAAGTTTTAAATATTCTTGTCCCAAAGCAAGTTTACTATTTCATAGCTGACTAGTCGTAGTTTAAGGATTTTCCAACCATCTTGGGATTTCCAAAATGTAGGGAATTGAGAGGTGGGAAGGGGAAGGAGAAGAAACGGTAACATTGCATTTACAAATGCTTATTGAATATTATTGAATATTTACAAATATTCAATAATATAATATAATAAAAATTATAAAAATTCAATAATAATATAATATTGAATATTATTATATTATTTACAAATGCTTATTATTCCTGGATTGTAGTTGGGGGAGATACAAAGATGCGTAAGAACCCTGCTTTTAAGTTGTTTCAAAAAATGGAGTACAGCCTGGCACTGGTGTCTCACTTCTGTAATCCTAATTACTCGAGAACAGAGATCAAGAGAATCCTGGGGTGGTTGTGGTGGTGGTGGTTGTGGGGAATAGTTTGTGAGACCGTATTTTGCAAAAACCCATCATAAAGCAGGACTGGCAGAGTGGCTCATGTGATAGAGTGCCTGCCTAGAAAGTGCAAGGCACTGAGTTCAAGCCCCAGTGCTGCTACATTGGAAAGAGCACGGGCAGTAGTTAGATATGGGTCCTTCTCTTTAGTAGCTATGGAAAAGCAATAACATCTCTGATCTCTGTTAGCCTTATTTGTTAAAAAAAAAAAAAAGGGGAGGGGCAGGGATAAGAATAACTTTTTAGGGCTATGAGGAGTAGGTCTGGAAGATTAAGTGCCAGCATATCAGGAGCTGAATAAAGGGTAGCAGTTCTTACAGTGGAAGAGCCAACTGGGGGAGGACAAGTTGAGACAGGATGTGAGGAGAGTGGGGTGCTGAACATGACTGGGAATCAGTAGGCCTCAGCCTTCCAAGGGGAAGTTACTTGAATAATAATGCACTAATATGATTCCCCACACCTAGTATATACTCGATTAATAATACTTAGTAGTGATTTACTCTGTTAACACTCTTAAGAGGAAGCACCTTAGTAAAGCAGTAACCTATACTTAACTATTCTTTCACTCACCTGTTTTTGCTTTCAATAATTTTTAGACCTTTCTCTTTTTTGTGGAGAGTTATGTTCTCAGTATTTTTATTTTTTAACAAGACAGTTAGGTGGAAAGTTGATATTAGAAGCATTTGGGTTCATTGTATTTTTCTGTAATAGAGGCTCATAGTGGGTGGGTTTTCAGGAATCATCTAGGCCTCCCCACCCCATATAGGAAATCCTTGTGCATTTGGTGACCAGATATTGCAGACATTACTTGGAACAGGTTGCCTGTTCTTGAAGGCTCTCTGAGTCTACATTGTTGTTTTGACAGCTTTAATTGTTGGAAAAATACATTCTCCTGAGTTGACATCTGCTACATGTAACTTCCATTCTTTGGTCCTTGTTCGCTCTTTGAAGCTATATTAACTGAAACTATACCCACATGGCACCCTTTCAATATGTGATGCTCCTAGGTCCTAGTTTTCTTTCTCCTTTCTAAAGCCCGAAGTCTTTCCTTGCTTCTTTCTGAACTTAGCCACTACAAAATTCTAGTTGCTATCTCCCATGGAAGAGTTTCAGTTGACAGGTCACATTTGGAGTGTGGTACTTAGAATGGGACATAGTGTTACTAATGTGGTCTGATCAGCAAAGAAAACAGTGTAGCTACAGCCTTCCTCAAATCAGGATACTGTGCTGTTGTTTGTTCCCAAGATTCCCCTAGTCTTTTGGTATATACTGTAATACAAAGCATTTGATTATTTCACTAGCAATGACCTAAAAATGATACTAAGACACTGGATGGTGCCATTTGGTATTTGTCTTATTGTTTTGTTTCATTAAAGACTTGCTTTGTTGTTAATTTAAGCTTTTCTTTTTATGCCCATTTTTAAAAACTAGTTGTAAGATAGTATTGTGAATGTAAGTTACTTTTTGATAATATACTCTATTTGGATGATTTATTCACTGCTACTTTTTCTAATTAGGATACTTAATTGAATCAATATCTTTTTAGATCCATATGTCAAACTTTTACTTGATGCTATGAAGCACTCAGGTTGGTAAGTAAATCTTTATAAAGTGCCACTATATATTTTGACTGCCCTAAACAAAAAACTGAAAAACCAGAGCTACTTATTTCTCACTTCAGGCCATGACACCTTTTCCATAGATAGGAATTATGTTTTCTCCAGGCAGGCCTTATTTTTTTCTATCTTTTGTCCTAACTCAGGCCCTGGCTGTACCATTTACCTTGAGTATTCGGTAAAGACAGTGTTCAAATTCTTTCTTCAAAGTAGTTACCAAATCTGGCCTTTCCACATCAGCTTAGTTCTTTATGGAAAAGAAATCTCATCTTGGTACATGGTAGGAGTCTTCCAGAGGTAACCTAGAGGTGATTCGAGGGAGTGATGTCTGAGATCTACTTCCTTCTTAACATTCTGGCCCAAGGGCAGGAGTCCAGCATAGTTCCAGTATGGTCTTAATCATTTGACCAAGTGCTTTATGAAATCATAGAGAACTTGAACTGGGTTAGATTTTGCAGAGACCATCTCCTTATTTTACAGATGAGAAAACAGAGTCCTGAAGGTGTTAAATTGTTTTCCCAAAGTTTCATATATGTTAGTGGTGGAGGGGATTTAGTATATGGTAAAGGGTCTTCTGACTCCTGGCCCAGGGCTATTTCCCACATACATACTCCTCTTTTAATCTGTTCTTGCCTTTTAGTGCTGTTAACAAAGACAGGCACTTTTCTTGTGAAGACTGTGACGGGAATGTCAGTGGAGGTTTTGCTGCTTCAACATCTCAGGTAGGTAGGTTTCTTTGTCAGATTATTTTCTTCCCTTTAAGCTTTTCTATTGATATTTGCTGAGCACCTTCCACATGCTTGCATTCTGTGTGGTCTTAAAAAATATGAATTAGTCATGGTCCTTACTCTTAAGGAATATATATTCTCCCAGAGGAGATAAGACATGACTCAAACAATTATGAAATTTGAGACATGTTAAACTGTTTAGGTGGGCTTAATGTATTAGCTTTCCATTGCTATAACAAATATTGGAGATAATCAACTTTCAAGGAGGCAATGTTTACCTTGGCTCATGGTTTCAATCTGAGATCACATGGGCCCATTACCTTTGGAGTGTGTGGCAGCGCAGTACATCATGGTGGGAGTGTATGGCAGAGGAAGCTAAGACTTACCACATGGCAGCCAGGAAGTGACAAAGAGACAGGAAGGGCCACAGTTTATAGTGGTACACAGTACTGTTTTCATTAACTCTGGAACAACTTCATTATAGGGAAACAAGACCCTATTTCTTCTATCAATTCTGCCTGCTAAGTAGAAACGATTTCCAGTAGGAGTGAAATCTTACATGTCTAAAACAGGAAATTTTTGTCTCTTTTAACAGATTAGCCTCAAATCTGAAAGAGGTGACTGACATAGGTACTGCCCAAGATTCATGTGTTCTTTATTACTTACTGTGGGGAGGGGGAAAAAGTTCTAAAAGTAGCAGAAATTAAAGTTTCACCCACAATTCCACCATTCCAACAATCAATTTTCATTGAGAGAGAGAGAGAGAGAGAGAGAGAGCACAAACAAGGGGGTTCAGGGCCCCAACATTCCCTTCAAGAGCACTTACCCAGTGACCTAACTTTTTTCCCCACTTCCTCATAGTGCACACACTGAGAAGAAGCCTTCAACTCTTCAACTCCTGGGCCTTTGGGGGATATTCAAAGTCCAAACTCTAGCACGTGGTTACCACATGAGACAGTGATATGATTGGTTGAAAGACAGCAATAAATTCAGCTAGAGGATATAAAGTTTCTTCAGAGGCAAAGAAGACAAACACTGTTGTGTGAAGCAGAAACGGCATAAACAGAAGCGGTGTGTAGGGAAACCACAAAGTATGCTAAGAATGGCGTGTTGGTTGTCTAGTTTCGTTGGAGGACAGGAACTCATCGAGAGTAAAGAGAAGTGAGATTGGAAGGAAGGGCTAGCCTCATGGTAAGAGGCTGTGGATGCTAAGTGACAGGATCACATCTCTACATGGTAAGAAGTGACACCATTTAGGAAAATTTTTGAATAGAGGGAGTGAGTTTGTCCTGTGTAAAATACAGGTAACGACTGTGACTGTCTTATAGAGTGATTATGAGAATTTAGTGAGTTGTCTCATAAAGTCGCTTACCATGGTACTTGGCCCATAACGAGCACTCAGTACACTTTTATTATTAGTTGTAAGCCATTGGATGGTTTTTACAGAGTCTTGGAGGTGAGAAATAGATTATGTCATGTGATGATGGTAGAGGGAAGGTGTTATAAGTAACTATTTCCGTTTTCACATTTAACTACACTTAGCTGTTAACTGAAGAATTTCATATGTAGTTTGGTTGTTCATATCTGTTTTACAGTAATCATGGGAAAAAGCACTATATCTCAGTGACAAGTCTGGGTTTTGGATGTGAGTTCAAATCCTGGTTCTTCTGCTTATTAGCTATGGGGCGTGGCCAAGTTTTTTTTCTCAGTCTCAGCTTTTTCATTTGTAAATTAGTAGTCACAATACCTTATAGCTCTCAAAACAGCTCTTGTAAGTTTACTTGCTGCCCCACCCCCAAGGGTTACATGGGTGGACATTTTGAACTCTCATCAGTGTCGAACACGGTTGTATACTTTGCTTCGTGTTTTAAATTAAAATTTTTATTATGAAATTGTTCATTCATATGGAAGAATAAAAAACCTATATGTAAACTTCCAGTAATGAAGGAAACAGATTGTGTAACTGACACCTGATGTGAGGAGTAGAACATTACCAGGACTTCAGACGCTCATGTGCTCCTCTTCAGTCATGTCCCTCTTGTCCTTAGCCTGACTTACTTTTGTGGAAATCATTTCCTGCTTTGCTGAGTGGTTTCACCATCTACGTACATAATCCAATTTTGTGTTATTTGAATGCCTGCTTGGTGTCTGATCCCTCTTTTTCCTACCCTGTCCTCTGATAAAGGGATCTCATTAATTTTTCTAGTTCAGAACTCCTTTTAATTCTACATCCATATGTCCAAGTGCCCACTTAACACCTTTCCTTGGATGTTATAAAGACACCTTTCACTTGATATGTTCAAGTTCAAATTTGTGATCTTCACCCAATCTGGTCTTTTAGTTGTACCTGTTTTAGTGGATGCTTTTATCATCCATTCCATTACTTAAGCAGAAATTATGGATATTTCTGATTCCTTTCCTGTCTTCTATCCATCACTGAATTTTGTCTACTTGATTTCCTAAATTGCTCTTTAAGCTCCTAGGTATTTCACCTTCTGTTTCTTGCTTAAAGGACTTTAGTAAACTAGTTTCTCTGCATCAAATTTTGGTCATCTCCTGCTTATTCTTCAATTGTAGTTGAAAGGATAGAAACAACATAAAACAATGCACTGCCCTGTTTCAGCACTCACTTTCAGTGGCTTCCCATTGCTTTCAGGATTAAGACAAGGTCTGCAGGATTTGGCCCCTGATGACCTCACTAGCCTATCTCATGCCTACCTCCCCCAACTCTGTACTTCACCTCTCAAAATTTGTATTCCTTCAGCCCTCTCCTTCTGCTTTGCATATGCTGTTCTCTCTGTCTAAAACACTCTCTTCCCTTCCTCTCCTTAAATTAAACTATTCCTCTGTTAGATTTCAGCCTTTCCTAGCCTCCTGACCAGGTTTGGCATTCTCATTGTATATGCTTTTACAAACATGTTTTTTTTTTTCCTTCATGACACTGTCATTGGATGTATTTAAACATTTTGGTCTATATTTGATTAATTTCTGTCTCCATTAGATTATCAACCTAGTATTAGTATTTATTTTAATACATATTAGTTGAATAAGTGAATATTGAATAATCCCAGTGTCTGGCACCTAGTAAGTACAGTAAGTGGCAGCTGTCATTAGTAGAACCTTCATATCTTACTCGTTTATTCTCATTGTTTTTGGCAAAACTAGGAGAACTCAGGGCCTTGCGCTTGCTAGCCATGTACTCTACACTTGAGGCACTCCTATAGCCTATGTCTTATACTTCTGGTGTGTCACTGGCTTTTGCACTTCTTCCTAAAGGTCTTTCTGAGAATTTTCCCTGGTGTTTTTTCTCATTATAGTAGAATGAGCACATTCATTGTTCATTCAGAAACTTGCTAAGAAATTTTATGTATATACTCATTTAATTTTCACAATCCTAAGACATAGATACTCTTATTTCCTTTTTATAGCTGAGGAAAATGAGGCATAGAGAGGTTAAGAAGTTTGCCCAAGGTTACCAAGTTGGCAAAGGCCAGAGTTATAGTTTGAATTTGTCTGCTTCATTCCAAGGCCCAGTGTCATGATCATAATGCTGTAGAGTCCAGGACAAACTGGTTTGGTCAACTCTGTGAGGACAGTATGTGAATAAATGTCCTCAATCTAAGTGCCATCGTGACCTAGAGAGAGAAGGGAGGAGTTAGTCATTGGAGAAGGCTAACAGAGTGTGTGTAGTTAGGACTGGGACTTCACCAATGGGTAGATGGGGTTGATGGAGAAAAGTGAGTAGAGGCATTCCAAGCAGGTGAGCTTGTGATCACGTGGAATCTGAGAAATGAAGGCAAATTTTAGAAATAACTGAACTTCTCTTGTTTTGATGTCTTCTAGATTGTTCTGTGCCAGAATAATATCCGTAATCAGGCCCATATGAACAGAGTGGTCACCCATGAGCTCATTCATGCGTTTGATCATTGTCGTGCTCATGTCCACTGGTTCACCAATGTCAGACATTTGGCCTGCTCAGAGGTAAGTTTTGTTGTAAAGACTTAATTTTCTCCAGAATAATCTGTGTTTGAACATTGTATTCAAATATAATTCATTTAAACTTACTCTTTTTTTTGCTGTCATAGTTCCACCTTAGTATATTTTTAGAATTGCCTTTACCTTTAAGGCCTTATAATAGTGATGACTGACTTTAATTGTAATAGCAAACTATTTTCCTATGAAATAAATTTTATAATATTAAAAAAAATAAAAATTAGCATTTACTGAGGGCTAACACTGTTCTGTTTGTAGAGATTTTTTTCTTTTCTTTTTTTTTTTTATATGTATGTGATGCTGGAGATTGAACCCTGGGCCTTGATATTGTAGGCAAGTATTGTACCACTGAGCTACATCCCCAGCCTTGTATGGATTCTTGTTTAATCTCCACAACACTCCATTGAGGAAGATACTGTTATTATCCTTGTTTTATTTTTTTTTTTTCATTTTTCTTTTATTATTCATATGTGCATACAAGGCTTGGTTCCTTTCTCCCCCCTGCCCCCACCCCCTCCCTTACCACCCACTCCGCCCCCTCCCGCTCCCCCCCTCAATACCCAGCAGAAACTATTTTGCCCTTATCTCTAATTTTGTTGTAGAGAGAGTATAAGCAATAATAGGAAGGAACAAGGGTTTTTGCTGGTTGAGATAAGGATAGCTATACAGGGCATTGACTCACATTGATTTCCTGTGCATGGGTGTTACCTTCTAGGTTAATTCTTTTTGATCTAACCTTTTCTCTAGTTCCTGTTCCCCATTATCCTTGTTTTATGTACGTAGAGAGGGAAACAGTTTCCATAGTTTGTAAATGGCAGAGTCAGGGTCACAACCAGTTTGCTGTGTTGCTTTTCATATGAAAGACTTGCCCTGGAGAAAAACTTTGCATTGCTCTCAGAAGCATATATATATACTTATATATATACGTGTATATATATACTTCTGGAGAAATGCACATGTGTCGTGCTTACATTTTATTAGTTGGAGAGTGCACTGCCATGAGAAATTAAAAAATGAATATAAATCTCAAGTTTATATCTTATAACTTAGGTTATTTTCTCATTCCCTTGAAATTAATAAGTGACTTCACTGCATCGAATTATAATTCATATTATTTGGAGATAGACTAAAATCTGAGTTCTTAAATATGTCTCTGTCTTTAGTGTTATGAGAATTAATGCCTATTAGCTAGTTGAAGTGTGTTAAGTAGCTTGAACTCTTCAGAGGAATGAGGGCATGCTATTGTAAAGTGTCAAAAAGTGGGACATTCTCTTTGCAATGAAATAGCAAGATATGGTCAGAGGGTGTAGAGTCTCTGTGGGTAGTTCCAAGAGTTAAAAAAAAAAACTACTAAAATATAGTAAATTAGAAAGTATGTCCTAACTTGAGTCTGTCATGCAGTAAGTATGACTACTTTAAAATGTTCTTGATTCTTTGTGCTTTGTACCATGAGGTTTTTCATAGAAAAGTCAAGGCCTTGGAGGAGAGTCTTGACATGGGTTTGAGAAAAAGTCCAAGAGAGTTTCAGAGATTTGGGCTGGGCTCGACTGGGCTGGGGGTGACGGTCATATGGTCAGAGTGTTTTAGATGCTGATATGTTCAACTTCGAGCTCACATTGAAACCCAGTTTGTAGGTCATCAGAAGAATGCTTCCTTGGATTCCTTTTGGTAATTTCTAAAACAGTTTGCATTTGTATAGTATGGACTTTGACTCTGAGGTTCAACTCTCTGATTCTTGGTTTCCAAAGAAATTAGCTTTGTCCAGAAGGCTACAGGGTGAAGTTTAGAAAATTCTCTTTGGTAGGTGATTGAAAGCCTTGCCACCCGCCAACACCCCCTTCCCTGCCAGTGTATTTGGCAGTATCTATCATAGCTCTTGAATGTCTGTGCTTGTTAATAGAGTTTAAAATTTTTTAAAAATAAATCTTTAAATATACCCTGTTCTTAGAAAAACATGCTAATTTCATATTGTTTTCTAGTTTTAAAAATTTGGTTAATCTTTTCTTTTCATTTGTCTTTGTGATAGATTCGAGCAGCTAACCTCAGTGGAGACTGTTCACTTGTAAGTGAAATATTCAGGTTACATTTTGGATTAAAACGACACCATCAGGTAAAAACTAACATGAAATCATGTACCTTTAAGAGTGTTATAAGTGGAAATACTGAATAAAGAACTGCCTGTATGAAAAGAATACAAAATGTGTACCATTAAAGCCAAGTTGATGGAATTTAGTTCTACTTTATAATTGTGAGCATGCTATGTGACTGAGAGATTTTTGAGCTATGATCTTGCCTCTGGGATACTTTTGGATGGGGGTAGATGAGGAATGGAAGTGAGACCACAACCTGTCTTTTTATTTTAATAGTCTTGAACTTAGATTTTAACACTTACCATAGTATTCTGGTCTATGTCAGAACAGAGACTGCACTGCAGCAGAGGTCATGCTTATACCTCAAAGCCTGTGTGACATGATAGGAATGAAAGCTTTGGATGGGCACAGACTTAGTTATGAGGAGCTGACCTTAGAATTATCACTGATGCATATTAATGATTTGTGTGTTATGTTTTGGTCATGTCTGTTCTCTCAGCTGTTCTCTTTTACCCTTCCTTCTCTCCTGCTTCCCCTTGGCCCCCTTGCCCTCCCTAGAAGTCCCTCTACTACTTAAAGGTCATTTTTTTTTTTTTTTAGGTTATAGTTTCCACATATGAAATGACAACAAAAACAGCATTGTTGTACTTGTCTTCCTGCGTCTGCCTTATTTCACTATAGTTCCATCCAGTTTTCTGCAAATGACATGATTTCATTCTTCTTTATGACTGAATAATACTCCATATTTTCTTTACCCATTCATTGGTTGATCTAGGCTGATTCCACCATAGCTTGGCTACTGTGAATCATGCTATAGTAATCATGGACATGTAGGAACTGGAAGGATTTTGTAAACAAAACAAAAATGCAGAAGAAAACTTGAAGACAAGATTATCTTGCTAGAAAGCCTTTAAGATTCTTGATAGATGGACCCAGGAGAGGAAGTGTAGAGTCCATGGGCTGATAATGAATGTCAATAGTTCTGCCCACAGCACCCTGGGCTCTGTGTCCACACTTGGGAGAAAGGCTTTTCAGACATTTTCTGTGGGCAGAACTTGCTGGGTCACTTTGTAAAGTATATTAGCATCACGATAGCAGTATCAAGTAGATGTAAAAAAGATGGGCTGGGAATAACAGGAAGGCAGTTGGTTCTCCTGAGGAGAGAGGAACTCAACACTGGGGTGGAGGGTGAAGAGTCACAGTGAGCTGTTGAGAGAAATTGTGGACTTAGTGAATGGGAGCTGCCTGGAAAGGGCGATCACTCTGGCTAGAATCTTAGGTTTCCAGCCTGTGCCCACTCAACCTAGTGATAACACCACTGTCTTGTCTTATACCATGTGTTTTCTGTGCCCTCGAAACCTGGCTTCTCTGGTAAATTCTGTGTGTCTCAGTGGAGTGTGTGGAAGCAGGGCACACATCAGTACACCCCTGGAATTAATAAGTGGGTAATGTGGTTAAAACATGGGGTCCAGGAACCTCTGTCTTAGAAAGAGCAGCCTCTCCTGTTTTTAACATTGGGTTGCAGCAGCACAAAATAAGCAGAACTAGCAAGAGGGTGGGAAATATGTGGAGGTGGTAGCCTCTGGCATGGCTTGTGGTTGAGGGAGAAGAACCTTTGAGAATGGAGTCCCTGCTTCTGTACAGCATGGGCCCAAGAAGTGTAGATACCAGGTACAGTACCCGACTGCATTGCACATTATACTTTTATTTTAACAGAAACATATTACATCTTGGAGGAAATAAATCTGAATTGTGGTGTACACTTGTATCTTCTGACCCTTTGGCTCCAGGATACAGTTTTTGGCCCCTTTTGTTTTGCCCTAGAGGGGAGAAATTGCCCGTTTTTGGCAATTACTGTTGTGGCTCCATATAGTTCTTCCTCCTCTTCTTCTTCTTTTATGTCTGGGGTTTATTTTTAAAATCAGTGTTTGGAGTAACTGAGGTTGAGAAGTGCTGGTTTAGAGTCCAGTGCTAATGAGTATCTCCAGCTTGAGCATGTGGCCAGGCTGAAGTAAAACTGGAAAAACAGAGGAAAATGGGCGATTGTCAGGATACACAGCCATTCAAAACCAGTGCTTTGTTATTTGTTTGTTTATTTATTTGTCTTTCTTGAGGTGAGATCTTACTATGTTGCCAAGGCTGGTCTTGAAGACCAGGGTCAAATCACCCTCCTGCCTTAGCCTCCCCAGTGCTGGGGCTACAGCAATGTGCTACCATGCTCTGCTTTCACACCTGACTTTGATTATTTTTTAGGAGAACATCAAATGCTATTTAGTTTTGAGCTGGTGAGAAATAAATGGATTAAAGGCTTTCCAAGAATTTGAATGGCAGAGTGTTACTTTTCTTAAAATATTTAAGTTTAGAGTATTGAGAAATTCTAGCTTAATAGGTTAGTTATTTTGTTAGGAATATAACTATAATACCTATGAAAAGAACACTTGGGGAAAACTTGTGAAAATTTTTTTCCTGTCTTAAAACTAAAGCACTTTCCCAGCTGGGTGGTTATGTATGTGCTTTCCCATTGCCTCCATGGAAGAGAGTACCCTTAGTGAAGAAAAGTTATCTCGCATTGGTCAGCTGAAAAATTAAGGAGCAGAGTTGCAGAAGTGAAATATTTTAAATTTAATTAAATTTTATTAGCAAGGTCAATCAGGATCTTGTTTATATATATTTTTTGTGATTTTGCAAATTGAGAGTTATTGTTTGGCAGACATTACCTAGAACTTCAGAGAATGACATGTGCTTATATTATTGTAAAAAAGGAGAAAATGGAGGTCTCACACCTAAATCATCTTAAATTGAGCTAAACATGTTCCATAATTTGAGAGTTACATTTCTTTGCTAATTTTGTTTTCTTCTTCGGAATGACAGAAATTAAAATAATATAAGAGGAACTTCATTTTGACTGTGGTTCAGACATTATATAAAATGCTTATTTCATATCTATGTTTTTACATAAAATTCAAGCCACATACTCTTCTGTTTCCTCAGACTTGTGTGCGAGACAGAGCCATTCTTTCTATTTTGGCTGTGAGGAGTATCAGCAAAGAAGTAGCTCAGAAGGCTGTTGATGAAGTTTTTGAATCTTGTTTTAATGATCATGAACCTTTTGGAAGGATCCCACATAACAACATGTATGCAAGATATGCACACAGAGACTTTCAAAACCGTGATCGATACTACTCAAATATATGAAGACAATGGCATTTTATATTATAGAGCCTTGGTCATCACGAAGAGGAAAATATGGTTCTTAAGCAAACAGATGTATACAGTGTAAATGATTAATTAAATACAGATAAAACAGAAAGGATGCTGATTTTAGCCTATGATTGGAAATAGTAACTGTGGCAAAAATGAAACTACCTTAAGCTCCCAGGCAAAAATTATATCTTTATAGCTGATCATTTGCTAAATAAGATAAATAAAGTTTTATATTTTCTACCATGTACTTGTGTTTTTAGATTTTTTTATTACTGTGCTTTGTTTTTATTACATGAGATTATTTAAAAGTTTGATTAGGAAACCTATGAAGCATACTATTGTCTGATGTTATACGTGATCAAAGTTGGTGTTTACGTTAAATGTAAAGAAAAATGAACTGATCTAATTGTAGGATATTTATTGATGTTGTCATGATCAAAGCAGCTAAAGAATGCAGGCTAAAACAATTCATTCAGTGGTCAATGCTGTTTTCTCCCTGCTCTATCTATCTATCTGTCTTATCTATCTATCTATCTATCAATCTATCTTCACGCATATGCTATATGAATTAATTTTTTGGGGATAGTCCTGATTATATATATATATAATTTAAAAAAGTAAAGGTAGTGAATTAAATTTATAATACAATCTAGTTTAATTTATTACTGGGGTTTGATCTCAGAGCCTTGTGCTTGATAGACAGACACTTTACCACTTGGGCTACACCTCCCGCCCCCAATTTTTTTTGGTAGTACTGGAGGTTGAACTCAGGGCTTTGTGCTTGCTAGCTAGGCAGGTACTCTACCACTTGAGCCATGCCTCAGGCCTCTAACTTAATTTTTATATATTTATAAGAATATTCATATCCTCATTTTCAAATCTTTTGTCAGGTCCTGTGCCTGAATTTTGGATTCAGGAAACATTGTCATTTTATCTACAAAGGCATCACCTGTATCTTTTACCTAGTTCTGGTAAGCAACACTTGAATTATGTCCAGGTTGAACGATGGTGATGCCTATGTATACATGTGGCTGTTAGAGGTTTGAAGACAGTGAAATTAGGAGTATTCTTTCAAAGAATTTCAAATTTAATTAAATACAAATTATAAAGTGATACCTCAAGTCTAATAATCTATTAGATATTAAAAACAAGGTTTGAAGATTATGGGAAGGTTAGAATAGGAAGCACCAAAGATTTGTTTCCCCAATTAAGCAACAATTCACTAGCAGAGTCTGTCTAATATATCTGCTTTGAAACTTGAGTCTATTTGAAGTGTTGCAACTTCCAAGGGAAAGCTTGGATGGTAAATTGTGGTTCTTTTCAGTCAGTTTTAGTTCTTATCACATCTACTGATCCCCCATTCTCTAGCATGTTCCTGGAGCAGCTTTCACATAACTTGTAGAAGGTCAGGTTGAGCAGAAAATGACCCTGTCTTCCAACTATTAGGGATCTGGGCTCTGATGCTAATTGCTGCTTCTGATCATAGAAAAGCAAGGAAGTGGACAACCATTGTTGTTTGGAAATCCTTCATTTTGCAAACCCCTCCTCTCTGGCTGAAGCAAGGTGGGGATTTTAATAGGCTGTTGCCTTTCTTCCACTTTATTGCTCCCCCCCCACCTTTTTTAGGAGTCAGAGATTGAAGATGAGGACATTCAAAAGTAATCTCATAGCAGGGAAATTATTAGAAAGTCACTGAGCATGTCCAGAGGAAGTCAGTCTTAGAAAAGACCTGAAGTTCATACCTCAGGCTGATCCTCAAGACAGGGACAACTGACAACTATAAAAACAAAAAGTGGCAAACCCTAAAAAGGAGGAAAACCTGATTTCCAGGGTTTACACATGAGACTCAAATGTCTAGTTTTCAAAAAAAGTTACAAGGCTTACAAAGAAATAGGCCCATTCAAAGGAAAAAAAATCAACAGAAACTGTACCTGAGAAAGACCTGATTATGTATTTACTTTCTTTGTTGAAGAAAGTAAATTCCTTTCTTGAAGTCTCATTATGTTATCCAGCCTAATCTTCAACTTCTGGATTGAAGTGATCCTTCTGCTTCAGCCTCCCAAGCTGGGATTATAGGTATGTACCACTGTGCCTGACTCAAGATAGAAACTTACAATCACATTAAAGATGCTCAGAGAAGTAAGGTAATATTAGGGAAATAAAACCATATGCAAGCCAGGCACCTATGGCTTGCACCTGTAATTCTAGCTGCTCAGGAGGCAGAGATCAGGAGGGATTGTGGTGGGCAAATAATTTGCAAGACCCTATCTCAAAAACAAAAAACCAAAAAAAAAAAAAAGGACTGGTGGAGTGGTTCAAGCCGTAAAAGAACTTGCCTAGCAAGTCTGAGGCCCTGAGTTTAAACCCTAGTACTGTCAATCCCCCCAAAAAACAACCCCCCAAAACTATGAACAAAATGGGAATATTAATAAAGAGAGCAAAAAAAGAAACAAACAGATTCTGAAGCTGAAAAGTACAGTAACTGAAATGAAAAATAGATTCAAAGGCAGACTTGAGAAGGCAGAGGAAAGAATCAGTGAACTTGGAGATAGGGCATTGGAAATTAGTTTGAGGAACAGAAAGAAAACAAGATTAGAGAAAAGTTAACAGAGCCTAATGGACCTCTACCACTTGAATCAGACCTCCAGCCCAGACAAAGAGAACTTTGAAAGCGGCAAGAGAAGAGTGATTCATCACATACAAGGAATCTTTAATAAGATTATGAGGAGCATTCTCATCAGAAATTTTTGAGGCCAGAGGAGAGTAGGCCAATAAAATGCAAAAAGAAAGAAACAATTAACTAAGGGTTCTATGTCTGGAAAAACTATCCTTCAAAATTGAGGGAGAAATTCAAATACTTCTAGATACAAAAAGCCAGGGGGTTTGTTACCAGTTGCCATGGCCTGCAAGAAATGCTAAAAGGACTCCTATGGTTGAAATAAAAGGACATGAGACAGTTAACTTGAAGCTGTAAGAAGAAACAAACATCTCAGTTAAGGTAAGTACATAGGCAATTTTATAAGCTAGAACTATTTTAACAGTGATATATACCTTCATTTTTTGCTTATTACATGACTTAAGATACATTAGAAATGTTTACTCTAAAAGCTAGTGCTATTGTAATTTGATTTGTGACTAAGAGGCTAATGCATGAAAAATATTAGCTAGTGTTTTTGGGCACTGTATAAAGATGTAATTTTGCAACATCAACAACTGAAAGGGCTGGGGATGGAGCTGTTAATGGGGTAGTGGTTTTGTATGGTTCTGAAGTTAATCTAGTATAAATTCAAATTAGTGTGTTACAACTTTAGGATGTTAACTGTAATTTCCACAATAATCACAAAGAAAATAGCTAAATTATATACAAAAAGAATGTGAAAGGAATTTAAACATTTCACTTAAAAGATCAACTAAACACAAAAGAAGGAAATGAGGCATAAAACTACATACAAAACATAGAAAATAAATAGAAAAATGACAGAAGTTAGTAATGACTTTCAATGTAAATTGGTTAAACTCTCCAGTCAAAAGATATATTTGCAGAAGGGTAAAAAAAGAAAAAATCCTTTGCAGGTAAATGGATGGAGAAATTGACTGGACAACATCATCTTAAGTGAAGTTAGCCAGGTTCAGAAAACCAAAGACTGCATATTTTCTCTCAAATGTGGAATATAGGCCCAATAAAAATACAAGCAATATTATATATACATAGAAATATATACAGAACATGTATCCAAAAGTGTGATTGGTAGAGGAGACAAAGAGTGGAAGAAATAAGGGAAGAAAGATAGTGAATAATAATGAAATACATCACATCTGTGTAGGAATAAAACATAAGGAAACACACAGGATAGGGGAAAAAGGGCAAGGGAGTTCTGTGGAGGAATTACATTGTCTTAAGCACAATGTATGTACAGGCAAAAATTAATTGACCAACGAACAGACACCTCAACAATGAAGGACGAGAAAGAAAAACAGGTCATGCTAAGAGGAGGGTATAATGGGAGGAGGAGGGTAAAAGAAGGTGAATATGGGTGATGTACTTTCTGTACAACAATGAATATAGAACTTTTAAACCTGTTGAACTCACCGTAAGAAAAGAACTAAGTAGAAAGGAGAAAAATGGAGGGAATGAACCAATTTGGGATACAATACATATACACATGGAAATACAATCAAATTCTCTGTATAGTTATCTTAAAGTAAAATTTCTTTTTTTTTTTCTCAAAAATGGAGGACAGGAACATAAACCAGGTCCTTTCTGGGGGTTGGTACTAGTGGGAAGGGGAGGATATAAGGAAAAGGTGTAAGAGGGTGAATATGGTGGAAATAATATTGTATGAAAATGAGTAAATGAGACCTGTTGAAATTACTCTAAGAATAGGGGGGAGGGGAGATAAAGGAGAGTGATGGAGGGAGTGAATTTAACGAGGATATGGTGTAAGCACTTTTGTAAATGTCACAATGTACCCCCCAGTACAACAATAATATAATAATAAAAACTTTAAAAAATGATCCAACTATATGCTGTCTACCAGTGACTTCTTTTAGATCCAAAGACACAAATTATTTGAAAGTTTGCTGGGTGCTGGTGGCTCACACCTGTAAACTAGCTACTTAGGAGGCAGAGATCATGAAGGTTGTGGTTCAAAGCCAGCCTGGGCAAATAGTTCTCAAGACCCTATCTTGAAGGGGACCAGGAACAAGAGAAAAGGTTAGTTCAAGAAGAATTAACTTAGAAGGTAACACACATGCACAGGAAATCAATGTGAGTCAACTCCCTGTATAGCTATCCTTACCTCAACTAGCAAAAACCCTTGGTCCTTCCTATTATTGCTTATACTCTCTCTTTCAAAAAAAATTAGAGATAAGGGCAAAATAGTTTCTGCTGGGTAGTGAGGGGTAAGGGGGGGGTAAGGGAGTGAGCGGAGTGGGGGTAAGGGAGGGGGTGGGGGTAAGGGGGGAGAAATGACCCAAACATTGAATGCATATATGAATAAAATAAAAATTAAAAAAAGACCCTATCTTGAAAAAAAAAACCCATCACAAAATAAGGGCTGGCAGAGTGGCTCAGTGGTAGAGCTCCTGCCTAGCAAGCATGAGGCCCTGAGTTCAAACTCCAGTGCTCCCCCCCACAAAAAGCCAAAGGATGGGGTGTGGTGGTAGGTCAGTGGTAGAGTACTTGCCTAGCATGCACACACACAATTCAATCCTCAGCAACACACACATGCA